GGTACATGGCCTCCAGTAACTTAATCCCCAAGGTAGAACCATGGTAAATTAAAATCTATCATTAATAAAGGGATATACAACAATCAGAACATGTACAACAATACCACATTTCACATTTTAAACTGAGATATGTACAGCTGGGTAAGTCAGTGTCAACTATTCGGCCTACATTACACCGTCGTGTTCCTTCAAGGAAGGGAAGACGGCTGGCCTGTGTAGTTAGTTACCTTTTGATCCTGGATTCACCAGGGGAAATAAAATCTCAAACTAAGTCATCAGACTATAACAGCTGAGCTCATTCCAGCTAACACTGAAGACTCAAAATAAAGGACTACAGAATATACATTTATGTAAATAAAATCTGCAAAAATTAGTGAAACAAACCTGCCTGTTCAATGTTCCAAATATATTATTTTAAAAACAAACACATCTCTGATGGATGACAGATGTGTATTCAGCTTGTCTGACAATATCAAAAAGTTTACTAAAAAACCCCAACTTTTAATATGCATCTGTAAACTATTCTGTGTGTATAAGCCATCTGCAAAGCGTCAACCTTTACTATACAAGTCTTCTGGTACTTAAATGTATTTAATATCTATTTACTATCAGCAATGGCAATGAACAGCTGAATCCTGTACTGACAGACAAATAAAAATAATAACCAACTTCTCCTGCTAGAGTAACTGGCCACTTAGGTAAATGCAAGTATGAAAGGACCTTGTATTTCATAAAATTGGAAGTCTAAGGAAAAAGGCAATTATTAAATACAAAAAGATAACAATTCCACCGCAATTAAATTTCATAAATCTACCTGCTCTTATATTGCCTGGGAGTGCAAGCCCTGACGTAGCCTATTTTTAAAAGAAAAATATCGTTACATATCGATCATTTTATGGGCAGTTTTGAAAGACTTAAGAGCCTTAAAACTGTAACTTATACATAAATGTTAATCTTCACTCTTCTGCTCTCCATAGATACTGTAGAAAATTTGTATTTTTAGCAAATACGGGCAGCAGAGCTCAGCCTGACTACATTCACAACTTTGCTGTAAAATTGGGAGGTTTGTAAGCCATCCTACCCAGGAAAATGGCCGCACAAACCATGTAACAAGTCAGATGACGGGCTGGTCTAAAAAGACAGTAGTAGTGTCACACTAGAGATGTCAATGTATTAAGCAACTTACCAGAGCTGGATACCAGTCTGCCTTCTCAGAATTACACGTCACACTCACAACTTTGCCAAGCAATTCATCATTGAGGCGCCTTTTATCTTCATCCTCCTCTTCACTACTTTCTTCTTCCTTTTCATCTTCAGTACTAAATAATGAAAACACACAGTTAAGGTTTTTGTCTGAGGTTAATATTTGAAAGCAAATACAGCTTACAACCAGACCTTTCTTCCTGTTCTGCAAAGCTTCAACAACAAAATTAAGAATTTTAAGAGCTGAAATTGCTTGAAATACACTTAAATATTAAGTGCACTTACTGAGTAAGAGGAATTTTGCAGAAATTCTTTCCAAGTAGTAGTATTTTACAACAGCATCATGTTGGAATTGGAGGCACGAATCAGTATTTGATTGTCCACAGACATGAAACAAAGAGAAATGGTCTCTACCCCAGGAATTTAAAAGTGCCTTTTTGTCCTACTTTATGCAGTATAAAGAAAGTAGAAAATCCTGCATTTCCTGACAGGTGAGTTCCTATTATGTGAAAGAAGCATAGTCATCCTTAAGGCTAGTACAAGCAAAAACCCCCTCAATTTTGTAACACCGCTAACAGATGAACCCGTCCACAGGAGCTGAATTCCTGAGGTCCAGAAGCTGTGCGCGCAGCTCACGTGACGGAGCATTCAGCCCGTTACAGCTCCAACAGTACTGCCTCAGTTTTAGCAAAGGACACTAAAGGAAAGGAAAGCAACAGCGCACTATCAAAACTCACACAGGAAGAGAAGACCTTCTTCCTCTATTAGATTTCTTCCCAATAACTGGAGTTCCAAAGTGCTCTGGGTTGGTTAGCGGCAGTTGATCAAGCGTCTACATGGAAAAAGAGGAAACAAAATCAATTTCTATTTTTTTTAATAACAGGAAGAAAATTGCAAACTAACTACTTAGCTTCCATCGCGTGTCCATCGCTGTCTTACCTCACTTTCTGCGAAGTGCCTTTCTCCCTTCAAGCATAGTGAAGTTCGTCTCAAGGTCCTTTCATCACCATCATCAAAAACTAGTACGAAGCCAAGAAAACACATTGGCACAAGATGATCAGATCTCGTTCCCACGCTGACAAAACAAGTCTACTATTTATCTCACAATCTAGAATATTCTCTAAAACATGACTTTCAAGACCTCCATTTAAACGTTTCTTTAGTTCACCAGCAAAATGAAGGGCAGTATTCAAGATTCAGTCGAAGAACAGATAACATTTTCACAGAGAGATTCAAGCCAGTATAAAGTAACGCTTTTAGATGCAATAGTCTCCGTCTAACTTAGCCATCCTTCTTATCAATACACTGCCCTTTTCAAACCATAGCTACTGGCTGCATGCCAAATACTATTATCTAACAATCTTAGGATTTTGTTTGGTTTTGGAGGTTTGGGGTTTTTTACCCTATCCATTTATTCCTTCCTTACGCTACCTTTTAATCCTCCCTCTTGCTACAAACAACCCCACAAAAAGACAAAGGATGGAAAGAAAATCAAGTGTGTGATAGTTTTTGCTACACTATCAACACTGTGCTACAAAGAGACTGGGAGTACTGGAAGCTTGCAACTGTAAGTCTGGCCAATTTATAAAGAATACTCAGTAGAAATCCTGTTCCCTTAAAACTCAAGTATAAGGAAAAGGGAAACTCCATCAACTTCCATCAATACACAGCTGAAGAAGACTAGAATGCTATGAGGCTACTGCAAGCTTGGCCTGGGAAAGTTCTTTAGTCAGTTTAAATAAAAATCTTCTTACAAAAATTTCCTTGAAGAGAAGGGAAGTTACTAGTTACCCCCCTCACTAGTTCAGATCCTCCTGGCTGAACCATGTGAACAGGCCCTTTTCAAAGAGCAGAGACTGGGTGGCTGCAGTCTGGCATTCCAGTAAGGTAAAAGTTTATTTGTATGAGGACAAAGTGCAGAATACTACCGTCTGTTTAAACTACCTGAAACATGCTTTGTCCGCTAGTGAACTTTAGGAAAAAAAAAAAGTTCCACGTGTTGTGCACATCAGTACGATAATTTTGGCATACTTCTATTAAAAAAAATAAAATCTCTTGAGCTAGCATGAATATCAAATATATGGGTATTGTTAGGAAAAAACACAGATTAGTTGCAGCAAGAAATGGACTTCATTAATTTGTCAAATAACTAAATAGAACAGTCACATTCTCATAATCTTAGATCACAACTACAGACTGCAATAACAACTATATAAAAAGGTGTGAATACAAATTTAACTAAGCTTGACAAGGTAAGCGTTAAGGTTCTTTCATCTTCACAGTAGAGACACTGCTGTGGTATGCCCCACTACTGAATCTCCTTAACAGCTTCTGTTATAACACTTGTATGCACAAAGCAACTAACTTTCCCTCTCCAAAAACCCAGTATTTTGAGAATGGCAGATACCTACACAGCTAATTAGCTATACTAGTTAACAGTATTTTCAAAACCTTTAAAATGTAAATACCAGTAACACCCATCGACCCCAACATCAGTATGTTACTCTCAGTGTCTTCTAGTTCAGCTCACAGCTCAAGGAAGCCACCGCTGCGACAACCCACACTGAGTAGGGAAACAAAAGCACGAGCTCTTCCCCTCTGCGTTACTAACTCAGCGCTGGTGCCCATCAAGCAGCAACGTGCGAAGACCAGAGCGCTCAAAATAGTTCTCAAGTTCAGCATTGTCACAGGTTTACATTAATAAAATAATAACAATAAAAATAAATCCGTGCCACCCCTTTGGAGTTTGTTTCATGACCCCCTCCAAACGTCCCTCATCTCTCTCTGTACACTCTGATAACAGTATGTTATTGGCATATTTTTAAGTTTTACGGTGGTTTGTCTCGCTGGGGTTTATCGTTTGTTTTTCAATCATTCTGTGCACCCTACAGTCTCATTGCTCTGAAGAGACTTAAAAGCAGATGACCATCATTATCCTTTGCCAAACACATTCAGAACTTAAGTCAAAGTACTAATTTTTCAGAAATAATCATTTTATGGGACAAATGGCTGATTTGCAACAGGTAACTACTGAAAAAAGCAAACAGAACCTGACAGGTGACACTAAATAACAAAACAAAAAAGTCTGTCTAGTTTACCTCCAATTTTGGAAGCTCTACCTATTTAATTAAAACCAGTATAGTAGAGGAAGAAATCAGGCAAACCATTCATAAAATAGATGACGTATGCCATTTTTTCATCCCTCAAAGATAAAAATCTTACAAATACTGAGTGTTAAGCAAAACATACTAGTAAAACACACTAAACTACTTAAACCAGGACACATAGGGAAATTATGACAATTAAGAACTGTGAGATATTCTGCTTTCCTCAATTACAACAAACATGCAAGTGAACCTAGAACTTTGAAAGTCACATAATTACATACTCCCAACCAATATGAGCCAATTACAGATTGCAAAATGTAATTGAAACTGCAGAAGTGTCAACTCCATAAACGTGTATTTCACTTCCACGGGCAAAACAACATTGAAGAAAAAATAATTAATGCTCAATAATTAAGTTTTCCTAATCACCCCTCAGACCCAGAGACAATGAAGGTGTGAGTATGTGTTTGGAGTTCTGCAGTCATGCTTTCAGCCCTATTCCCAGTCTCACACCTGAATGAAGACAAGTCTACCCCACGCCTCTTCCTGTAAGCCTTTTCCTGCCTTTTCCTGCCTTTTCCTCTTGTTTTCTCTAGCTGAAGGGACAGAACTGGCCTGTTCTTGTCCCCTGCCATACCGGGAAAAAGCACTAGGCCACTCTATATTTTCCAGAGCTAAACCAGGTGGACTACAAAAAGAAAACAAAAAAACCCCGCAAAGCCCCTTCTGAAAACCCCCTCCCACCCCTGAAAAGAAAGCTACTCTTTCCAAAGGACAGAGTACCTTCTTTCGTACGAGAGGCAGTTACCACCCAACTTCAGGAAAGGACGGTGGAGAAGCACAAGCACTCAGACCTCCTTCCTGAACCGCAGCAGGCCAAGGAACTGGCATAACCACGAAATGAAAGTGTAGAAAAACATCTCTGTTCAGTAGCTATGTGATAGATTGTCCCGCACGGGGCAAAGGAAATAGAAGTGTAATAAAGAGAGTGTTAGGAGTGCGTGATTCCCGTAAATCAATCGAGTTCAGTATGTTCCATTTCACCTTGGTAATCTTCTTCAAGGACTGAAGTTTCTCTCCCCCTCACCCCTCATTCAGGTCGAAAGAATGGAGAATCAACATATGCAACCCCCAAGAGCCTCATATAAGCATATATAGATACATATGCACACACATAAATGAGAAAACTAGAGATTTTTAATCAAGTCTGTGTGTGGTTATCCTTGCAGACATTCCCTGTCAGCACAGAAAAATGTTTTTAGACAATTACAACAGAATTCTCAATAATGAAAACTAAGGGCTGTTACACAGAAGGAAACACCATAGCATTATCATCACTTTAAAAGACTTTGCCTTTTTTGAACAATTAATAGAAAAGTGACTGTTACATTCAATTTTCTATCTTGATGGGAACCAGTAGGGGCTGAGGCAGAAGGACATGAGGGGCAGCAACAGAAGGCACTAATATTTTTGGTATTTCAAAGGCATTTAATGGCTTCGAGGATAAACAGAAATGTTCTTTGACCACATAAAGAGTTTTCGGATACGTAAGAAATTGTCTGCCCATTCTACAATTTATGTTGTGGACATGTGCAACAGCACCTGCAACTGACAGCATAGCTGCGCAACTCGGAGGAAAATGACATCTCTGCAGAACAACAGAGCGTGTGACAAAAGAGCACAAAAAGAAAGATTTCCTTAGCTAAATTAGCGATAACTTTATAAAGTGTCAATGGAGAAAGGATAGCAGCATTTTTCACAGGAAAATATAAATTATTTGAATTACTGACGTGGGGCCAAGTAAGTAGTCTCTCACACTAATCACAATGCATGAAATAATTTGTAATTGTAGCTACTTTAAACCTGCTTCTTTTCTAGGGAAAATACTTGTTTGCACCTTATTGAAAGGCTAATCAGAAACACACATCGACAGTCCCAGCATCTTTAAAAATATGTACCTTTCTTAAACTAAGTAGGCTGTGCGGGTTTTACCTCACTTTAAGCAGAATCTACTTCACCAAAGTGTCGTTCATATTACTGCCACCCTATGCCTGATGTATTAATGCTAGTCCTAGAGGCTCTAAGAGAATGTCTTTTCACTGTACAGTATCATACATTAAGGATTTCATAAGTATCAACAGCAGGGCAGACGGCACCTTTTTTGGCTATGGGATACTTTGATGCTATGATAGCAGTCATGTCCGAAGAACTTAATACACGCTAAGCTCCAAATTCATTCTTCTTTTTAACCTCATCCAGAAGACTGCCTAACTCCAGTTAAAATGCCCAGTACTAACAAACAAATTAAAACCTGTTAAATTAATGTTTAATAACTTGTATTAATTACTTTAAAATTCCTTAAAGAGGTTGTTGTTACAACTCCAAATTCTCCAGCCGCAGAAATTCTAGAAGCTGTATTCCATAGGGAAGAATTTACTGAACAGTACCGGTTATGTTAAAGAGGGACGGAAACAGGACCAGCAGACAGGGAGGTATCTCCCCACACACATGTAATGTAGTCACTAAAAGATGCGTTTACACTGCCTCATCTTAGAAGAGGAACTTAAATCCCGTCCTCCCAAAAAAAACAAGTATGAAAAAGCAGAAGCCCTTCAAGTACCACCGTTGCCTAATCTAGCAGTGGGCATGTGCTTGTTGGGGAAACAGTCTGTGCCAGCTGACTACTTCAGTAAATACTTCTGGAAAGAGAATGACACATACTAGCCAGGAACTATATCCTACTATTTAAGAGTCAATATAACAAAGTAAGAGTGACAGGAAGAAAAGCAATGTTTCTGCTGGCAAGAGGCCTTTTTTCCATCTATGTTGCTTCATGACGAACACTGACAGAAGCATAAAAAAGATGACTAAGCAGCACAACCTGGAGGAACAGTCTCTGTTATAATGCTTGT